TTTTTTAACATTATTTTGATAAATATTGATGTAACAAAGAAATGTTTCAAATAAGAGTTGTAGCTCTTGAAAAAATACATCATTTATGTCTCATGCATTTTTTGCATAGAACCAATATTTTTCAAGAAAAATGAGATAATACGAAAGACACTCCCCCCGCACTATGCAGCATGTTCCCTCCTCCTGTGAGGACTCCACCATCATAAAACTATACACATAGGTTTGGGTTGAAACCTCGCTTTGCGTGGAAAGTTGCAAACTCATGTGAAACCTCGCTTCGCGTTGTACAGTATATGCGTGGATGCTCTCCGTTCCGGGGGGGGGGGGGGGCCCAGTGCATAGTGCAAGGGGAGTGTCTTTCCTATTATCTCATTTTTTTCGAAAAATATTGGTTGTATGCAAAATATGCATACGACATAAATAATGTATTTTTTTAAGAGCTACAACTTTTATTTGAAACATTTTTTTGTTCCATCAATATTTATCAAAATAATGTTTTAAAAAACGATAATTTTTGAGTTTTTTTGAGTTTTGACTTTAAAAATGACCTTGTCGCCAATCGGCATGGTCATATTCGCAATCAGCGTGCAAATATATAATAAAAAACGTAGTTTGAAGCAAATCGGAGGTGTGGGCTTTTCGGAACTTCATCCTTAATTTTTATCACATAATAAGTTTATTCTAAATTAGGCTACTCGAGCGCGTGCTACGCCATTTTTTTCTGTATAATAATTTAAACTTTTACTTTCTTTAAAACACTTCTGATTTTTGTATAATAACAAAGATACAAGCTGTCAAAGTAATGTCAAATGCAATTGTCTCAATAGCAACCAATCAATAATAAACAAAAACATTGCATGACAACCACTCGATGATACGAAGTAACGCGAATCGATCAATTAACAACGCGGAAAAGAGGTCTCACAAATAAATAATATGCTTCTTTTAAAGTAGAGAATAAATTTGCGTGTAAAATATCTACTTTGCTTGAAGAAAAGCTTGAAAGATCAAGAGACGGAAAACTTTTTTCCAATATTTAAGTATGAGAGATTTTGAAAAGATTTAAGAGTATACATTTTGAAAAGAACCTTTATTTCGTTTAAATTTTATTTTAAAATGTTGATATTGAAAAGGCGGGATTTCTAAAGCTAAGATTAAATGAGAAAACCTAGAAAATTTTGATTTTTTTTCTTTTAAACGTTTTAGGCATGCTGTAAGCAAATCTTAGCATAACAGCGCACTGCGTTTTGTCGCAGAATTCAGTTGCTCAACTACGGCTCAAGCGGTTCTTGAAATCTCGACTTGACCTTAAATGTACTCGTTCCCATTCGAGTTAGGCGTAGAAAAGCGTATGGAAAGCGCCGAGTAGAGATATAATCCGCACTAATACGCAGTGACGGCCCGCAGTTGCATTTTTTACAACATTATCAATAACGAACTAGAAATAGATGCATTTTTGCTTACGCGCTAATGCGCAATTTATCTCACGTGAAATCATCCTTTTTTTTGCATTATAAAAGATTCTATTACGTTATGCTCGTGTTACGACGAAAGCATTTATAGTCACTTCCTTACCAATTCCTTTTTAGGAAAATGTGCAAAAAGTTTTTAGGTTAAAGCTTATAAAGTAAAATTTATTTTAATAGGATATTTCAATAAGAGATTTTGTTATGAAAGACTAATTTAAAATAATGTGACAAGATAAAATAACACATTGCTATTTCTACGAGAATTAAAGATTATTTGAATTGCTTGAAATTTAAATCTATTTTTCAATAGTAAATTTTTCAATAGTTTTTAGTTTTTAAATTTTTATTTGTTGCATACAATTTTAAATGTATTTAATGTTTTTTTCATTTCTTTAAAAAAAAAATATTAAAAAAAATTGTTTATAATAGTTTTTTCAAACTTTTATTTTGCATTGGCTCGCATTAATCTTTCACATTCAATTTCAATTTTTCTATCACCAAATTTTATACAGGGTGTCCCACTTTAACTTTCACACTGTAATAACTCGAAAACATGACGCTTTGGTAAAAAATGTTTCAAATAAAAGTTGTACAGTTTGGAGAAGGAAAAAAGATAGGGATATTAGTTTGACCTTGAGTAAAGGTGCTTCGAGATTTAAAGGTCATCTTCATTTTTTTAAAAATGGAACCATCCTAATTTTTTTATATAAATCGATTCCTCGCAATATTCGTCGTAAAAAGGTATAAAGATAGGATGACCAAAAATTGAATAGTTTACGAAATATTTCATAGTTTATGTAAAATTATATCAAATTAAAGTGCAGTCTGTGTGAAATCAATATTATTTTCTGTGTTTCAAGTATTGAATATGCTATTTTATCTGTATAGATCAGTGCTCGGAATTAGTCTGAACATTTCAGCCGATTTCCGTGGTATACGCCTCCTTTCCTCTTCTTACCGCGCGCGCCGCAGCCGCTAGGGCCAGCGCCGCCGAGCGTTAGGAGCGACACTATCTGATTATGAGTGGGTTCTTCTCCCTATTTATTAAAATTTAAAAAAATGTATTAAAATTTATTAAAAATAAATTTTTATTTTAAATTTATTAAGTGGAAATATTTTAATAGATTTCTATGTCACCCATGAGGTACTAATACTGACACGTTTTTCAAAAAGTGGTTTTTATCTACATTATTGCATCAATTGTTCATTCTCATAAAAGGCCAAGAAAATCTAATTAAGAAAATCTCTTTTATATATATTTTTTTTTAAATTAAGTAATTTATTTTATCTTTAGTGGTAATA